AGAAAAATTATAAAATATAATATAGAGCTAAAAATAAATATATACTAATATAGAAAAAAAAAATTCTATTACAATACTAATAAAAAAACTCACAACATTGAAAGTTAAAAAAGAACTTAAACAGCTGTTAAACAAAAATGTAATACAGAAATGTATAGACATAGTAATCAAAACAGTGTGGAACATTTTATATAACTAAGTATAAAAAGTCTAATATGAAAGAATACAAGAATAAGAAAAAAACTTCAATATAACAAATAAAATGAAAAAAGATAATAGAAAAAAAAGTAAATTAAAAGATAAGAAACGAAAAGCAAAATATTAAAAAAAATGAAAAAGAGAAAAGATAAAAAAAGTAAATTAAGTAAAAAAAGAAGCATTAAAGACAATTAATATGCTTGTCATAAAAGAGAGAAAGTTTTTCTAAGATGACTTTAAGTAGTTAAACAAACAGTTTATCTCTAACTAAAATAGTATAATAAGTTGCACTTAGGTACTATTAGGATGGCTGAGTAATGCTAAACTTATGTATTTGAAAATTCTATATCATTATATATGTATATAGTTTCAAGAATCTTAATAAAATATTAGTATAACTGATTAAGATTAAAAAAAAAAGTTTGTATTCTATAATTAAGTTTTTTTTTATGAATATTTTATTTCAAATTTATACTTTTAATTAGACTTTCTTATAAGGTTTTGCATCTGATTAATAGTTCTAATAAGTTACAAAAACAAATTATTTTTAACCTAACTTAAATTATTAATCTTGTTTGTAAACTTATTCTTTAACTTATAAAATCCAAACCTTTATATAATTTTTTTATTTTAATTTGTATTAGTATAAATAATAATAACTTTATAGATTCTTATTATAATAATTTAATAGTTAACTTTAACTACAAGTAAATGCATTAAAAACTGCATATTAGTAATTTATATTGTTACTATTTTAAAATTACTAATAAAGATACATATAAGCAAAATTATACTTTAATATCAAAAAAAAATTCTTTATTTAATAAAAGATTTAAAAAAACAATTTTAATAAATATTTGCAAGTAAATATATGTGTTGAACAAATTTACTTAAAAAGCAAAAAAAGGTTGTTTTAGTAAACAAAAAAATTACAGTATATATAAATTAACTAAAAATTTTAATGTTATTATATAGTTAACTTATTTTTTTTATAAAATAACCTATTTTTACCTTTTAAGAAAAGTTGTTCTACATAAAATTTTACCCATAATTATACTTTTAAAATAAGAAATTGTTTATTTTCATAAAATTCTGTTAAGAAAATATACAATTTTTATAGAATTTTCAAAAGTGTTCTAAATAACCTTAATCTACTATTTTCGATATACTTAATTCTAAAATTTGAAATTAAGTTAATATGTAAGTTAGAAATAATGTGAAGCTTAAAGTTTATAGCAATTTTATTATAATTTTTATTATAATTTGTCACTGCGTGACATGTCCTTTGACTTGAGATGTACATCTCACGAGATCACAAAATTCTCGCGCCTGTGATCTCGTGTGACTTTCGCAAAGCGAGATAAATTAATTGATTAAAAATTTTAATGATTGGTGATTTGTTTTTTTATTTGCAATTTTAGATTTTATTATACAGAATTTTGTTACAGGTCTCGCGAGAAATCGCGCGATATGATCTCGCGTGCGAAATGTACATCTCTGATAAACTAAACTAAAAAAAAAAATTTAAACTAAAAAAAAAAAAAAATTTAAACTAAAAAATAAAAAAAAATAAATAAAAAAATTTAATCTTGGATCTAAATAAACACATGAACCCAAGTCAGGTTCATCTGATCCATCTGATCCCAATCAAGGTTCAAGTGAACAAAAATCAGGTTCATTTGATCCCAATCCGGGTTCAAGTGAACTCAAGTCGTGTTCATTTGAACCCAATCTAGATTTAAGTAAACCCAAGTTGTGTTTATTTGAACCCAATCTAAGTTTAAGTGAACCTAAGTTGGATTCTAAATATGTGAAAATTGAAATAAGTTGGAGTTAGCTGACTAAGTCGAAAATTTTAAAGTCCGTGGTAATCAATTATTTACTTGACTGGCAACTAATAGTAAGGTGCCGAATAACTATATATTATTGAATGCTTCGCATTTAATAACTATATGGTATTTATTCCAAAGGTTTTCGACTCGTTTCTCAATTTGACAAGATTCGATAAATCAGACGTGTACATTTTAATTATTATCGCTACATCGTTTTTATTTATATAATCATATAAGCAATTAAAGTTTGAAAATTTTATTTGGAAATTAAATTTTGGATTATAGTTTGACTTGGATTATAGCTTGACTTGGATTATAGTTTGATTAGAATTATTAAGCCGCTAAACTTCACCGCCTGGTGATTTCCCAGAACAAATTAATCGAATAATTTCCCCCAACGTGACTTAATCCTAACCCTGAAGATTTATTACACTTGTTCTTTTGATCTAATTGGATAAAATCACGAGAGGGAAAATTTTTTATAAGAGAGCTACCAACTATCTAAAATTCACCGGTCGATCCATATCCGTTACCTCCGCGGTCGGTCGATCCCAAGAACTGAAATTAAAATTTAACATTTAAAAACATATCTTATACGATTTAAGAAAGCTACGAAATATTTACATCTGTTTCAACAACTTCAGGAGTATATATTCTTTCGAGAATCAATTGTGCAATACGTTCACCTTCTTTAACTATAATATAGATTCGAATCAATCAAAGTTTCAATTGTTTTAAAGACGCATAAACACAGTTCATCATAAATACAGGTCATACCTTTATAATCTTCATCACCAAAGTTGAATAGGAGTACGCCAACCGGTCCACGAAAATCAGCATCGATTACTCCAGCCCCACAGTCAAGGAAATGTTTTAGGGCTTTAAATTTCACGTGATATTAGACACGGCTTACGTAATGCAGAGATTAATTTTGTAAAAAAAAATTACCTAAACCGCTTCTCGGTGCGACACGTCCGTAAGTTCCTTCGGGAAGTGCGATAGATATGTCGGTATTAACCAAAGCTTTTCCCTTAGCCGGAACAACCATTTCAACAGCACTTTACACGTAAAATAAAGCTAATAAGACAATGGTCGCATATTTGCATGTTTCTACCGATACCAAATAATGATTAAGAGTCTTTATGTATACCTGTACAAATCATAACCAGCAGCTTGCGGTGAAACACGAAAGGGTAGTTTGGCTTTTTCGCTGAGACGTTTAACAAGTAATTTCGAAGAGTCCGCTGTTGGCATAGTTGAAACAGTGTCAGCAACACTCAATTTTCGTTTTTTTGAAGAATCAAGAACTACAGGATTTTCTGAAACTTCAGTGTTTGGCATTTTTTTTAATACAAAGGGAATTGAATTAGATGAGAAGGTTTTCTTTTTTTTAGATGAGTCAAATCACTTTGTATTTATAAATGCGATGTTATTCTCTTTATGTTAGTCACTCCCATGTTTACCTACCCATCTTTTGCCTTTATGCCATGTTACTTACCCATCATTGCCTTTATGTAAAGTTTCCACGAGTATTATGCGTACGTAGTTGATTATCAGTTATCCGGAAATGTTACACGTATGTTTTTCCGTGCGAATCAACTAATCGTACCAAATCTGCGGCGCTTAACTTGTTAAGGGGTCTAAAGACCCCATATAACTTATGTCCCGCATTATTCCGAACAACCAGACAAAGCCAAAAACACGAAAATTATCTAAACTGGTCTTGTGATGTACTAAGTAAAAGTGTCAGAAATGCGATTTTACTATATATCTATTAACCTTCTAGACTATGTCTAACCCTAACCCTAATATAATTAAAAATCGGAAAACCGGAAGGTGCCAGTCTTTAAACGTCTCCCTTATTAAGTAACTTAAGGGGTCATATAATTTCGACAAATACAGTAAGGGTAAGGTAGGTTTCATCCGGATCACAAAGCAGGATATTCACAATTTTGGATGACGAGATAAATAACATGAGGTAGCATTTACTAATTTCCCAGGTTTCGATTCTGGCCAATCAAAAAACAAATTACTAAATTACTTTTTCCGAACTCCCGCGTTCCCACAAAAAATTTAAGATCAGGTGTAACGTGATATTCAAAGTAAAAAAATTGCGTGCAAAATTTAGTCTAAGGAAACCGTGTTATAGTTAGGGTTATTAGTAGAATTTCAGAAAATTTTTAATTAGGCCGCAGAAGATGGTTTCCTAATGAAAATTTAGAGCTATTCCTGTATTTTTTTGTAAAAAGTGGGTTCGTTTTCGATTGGTCAAAATTACAGGGGTGACCAATTTTTGTGGGAGAGCAAGGGCGCCTAATGCTATGTAAGAAAATATTTACTGCGCAAAAATTTGGTATAGTTGTTAATGTTATCACTAATCCTAAGATGAAAAAGAATCCCATATTATAATCAAGTAAAAACCAATCTTTTTTATTTGCATAGTTTCTTTATGAATCTAGATAGTTTATCATCAGCTATATTAGTGTAATTATGTAATATTCCAGTCGTTATAAATTTTAAAATGACGCATGTTAATTTAAAATCCACATGAATCATAACGATAAATAGACGTAAAAATATCTATAGTATCCGATATTGATACATAGTAAATATCATTATTTATAGGTATTGAAATCCATATTAAATCAAGTCTGGAATTTTTTCAATTGTCCGATATCATCAAGCATTGAACGTATTTCCTCATCTGATTTCTTACACAAACTAATAATTTGTTGAAAGTAGACAAAATCGTTAGTTCTATCAAATCAATTTCAAATATAAATAATTATTTTTTGAATTTTTCACTTTCCTTGGAATAAGAGATTTTGCTTCTTCTACTTCATCACAACATAAATTGGCTAACTGAACCAATTCATACTTGTGAAGCTTATGCCTCATTAATGTTCTAATTTAAACCATCAAATTATAAAGTAGTTGAGATAAATCAATCTTTTAAAAAAAATCAAAAATCAAAAAATTACATACTTTCGTATTTCTCGTACAGATTCCTCGTTATGAAACTTGGTAAATAGTTCGACGTATTTTGCAGTTTTTTGATACACGCTAAAATTTCACGATACAAAGTTAAAAATGGCCCGAAATAACTAATTTTATGAGATTTGCGTTGATTTAAATATTTCGTTTGATCTTTAAAAAAGTGAACTATACTAACGGTGTATTTTTTTGATTTTCTGGTGTTTTTTGCAGTAAAAGATGCACTTCAGAAATGAATAAAAATTCTTCACCTTCAAAATCTAAATTATTACGTGATTAGTAAAGATTTGAATATTCGCGTTTCTTTAAGCATAAATTTAAACATAAGATAATATATACCCTCGCCAAATTTTAACTTTGAAGCATCTTCCTCTTCCTGAGGTGCTCTACGGGCTCGTCGAACATGTGACATCTTTAAAATAAAAGTGCAGACAATAACGTAAACGTTATAGACGTTATGTGGTAGACGTTATAAATCGATTTAACGTAATTGGCTGATTGAAATCAATTGTCGGGTAAGAATGTCGTGTAACGTATATACATGATTGGAACTCCTGTCACGCCATTGATATATTTTTCATTTTCGCAAGTTCTCAGATCAACTAAACTAGATGTCTTTAATTCAGACTGAACAAGAAGTGCTAGTTAATACCAGAGGTGGCGGAGTTTACATCCCACCTTCTAGATTAAAACTACTGCAACAAAAGGTTACTGATAAATCAAGCTCGGAGTACCAACGAATTACTTGGGATGCCCTCAAAAAAAGTATCAATGGACTTATTAACAAAGTAAATACCTGTATTCCACCATTTTATAATTATTTTTTAAAAATATTCACTTCACAAAACATGTTTTCTTTAGGTTAACACTTCAAACATCAAAAATATCGTTTTTGAATTGATAAATGAAAACTTGATTCGCGGTAGAGGTCTTTTTGCAAGATCAATCATGAAGGCACAAGCTGCTTCACCACCATTTACACCTGTTTATGCCGCATTAATTGCTATAATCAACACTAAACTACCGCAAGTTGGTGAATTGGTACTTACTAGGTTGATTGTTCAATTCCGTAAAGCATATAGAAGAAATGATAAAACAACTTGTCTTGCCACAACAACTTTTATTGCTCATTTATGCAATCATCTTGTAGCTCATGAAATTGTTGCGCTACAAATTCTTGTGCTTTTACTCGAAAATCCGACAAGTGATTCTGTTGAAGTCGCCGTAGGGTTTATTCGAGAATGTGGTGCTCATTTGGCTGAAGTGTCTCCAAAGGCAAATAATGATGTTTTTGATCGTTTTAGGGCAATTTTACATGAAGCAAATGTTGAAAAGAGAGTTCAATATATGATTGAAGTCTTATTTCAAGTAAGAAAGGATAAATATAAAGATAATCCTCCAGTAGCTCCCGAATTGGATTTAGTCAAAGATGATGATCAAATAACTCATCATTTATCCTTGGATGATGAATTGGATGTCGAGGAAACTCTTGGTTTGTATATATATATATATTTATTTATTTATTTATTTACTTGGTTTTATTTATTTAATGACATTTTACATATTATAAACATATTCTATATACATATTAATGTCATTGTATAGGTATTTTCAACTATGATCCCGATTATTTAGCAAATGAAGAGAAATACAAAGAAATCAAGGCTCAAATTTTGGGTGAGGCTTCTGATGATGATGATGATGATGATGAATCTGGTTCTGAAAGCAATGAAAGCAGTGATGAAGAAGAAGGTAAAATTATCTATATATATATAATATCTTAATATTTGTTTTCTTACAATTGGTAACTTATGATTTTTCATTGATTTAATATTAAAAGTTGCAAAAAAAATGGAAATTCGCGACCAAACAAATACAAATTTGATTAATTTACGCAGAACAATATATTTAACTATCAAGTCGAGTGTTGATTTTGAAGAGTGTTGTCATAAACTCATGAAACTTAGTATTCAAGAAGGACAGGAAGTATGTATTAACGCGTTATACCTATTTCAATCATCATAAACATTATGCGATTTTTTTTTAATGTTTAAATCCTTTATTTAGATGGAACTCTGCAACATGATTATCGAATGTTGTTCTCAAGAGCGTACTTATGAAAAATTTTTTGGTCTAATTGGAGAACGTCTCGCAAAGATAAATATAGTGTGGGCCAAGGCTTTTGAACAATGTTTTGTCCAGTATTATGAGACAATTCATCGTTATGAAACAAATAGGTTACGAAATATTTCAAAGTTTTTCGGTCACCTTTTGGCTTCCGACGCTTTGTCCTGGCAAGTGTTTAACGTTATCAAATTAACTGAAGACGATACCACATCAAGTTCTCGAATCTTTGTAAAAATATTATTTGAAGAACTGAGTGGTACTCTAGGTTTACAAAAACTTAAAGAAAGATTAAAAGATAACACGATGCAAGAATATTTTACTGGTCTATTTCCAAAGGACAATCCACGAAATACTCGTTTCGCGATTAATTATTTCACTAGTATTGGTTTGGGTTTATTAACTGACGAGTTAAGAGAACATTTGCAGGTTATTATTAAATTTATATGGTTTTTAGCAATTATCAAAATTAGCAAAACAGTTATTATTTATTGACTTTTTAACATTATTTATAGAACGCACAGAAATTGCTTATGGCGCAGAAACATGCTCTACAAAGTAGTAGCTCTTCAGATTCTTCGTCAGATTCATCTTCAAGTTCATCTGGTTCATCATCAGATTCTTCGTCAGATTCTTCTTCATCGAGTTCGTCATCAAGGCGCAGGTACGTTGCAAGAAAAAGAAGAGAAAGAGAAAGAAGAAGAAATAGATAATCGTAGAGGTTATGGACAATGGTTTCTTTGATTGAAAAAGTTGGCATGATTAAAGTTATATAAGAATGATTGGTCATTTGATTGTTTGATTGTGACTGATCATAAAAATTTTTTTGAGTACGTTGATCGATAAATGGTCGATCATTAAATAGTCATTCCTCACACCATTCACTAATCATATTATGTTCGCTACACGTTATTCGTGCGATTCATAAATTTAAATGCAAATAACTTTTATGTTCAGACTAATCAACACGAATAGAATAAAAATGAATATTCATTAAATATTTTTAAAGATTTCTAAAAACCATAACTTACAGTAATAACACCTGTACATGTGTTACGAAATTTTTCGTAATAAAATTTATTACCATTACTATATATATTTTTTTTAGTAATTTTTTTTATGCAGCACGATGTTCAATAGCTAGTATAGCTAGAATCTTTTTTTTTTTTGTGAAAATAAAAATACGAAACTTTTTTTTTAGTTGGATTTTTATCACAAATAACCGGTGGTGACCATTAGTTTTATTAGTTTTGTAGTCGACTTGACTAAGTCGATATTTTTTACATGAGGATCACCAATTTTTCGGGTCGGATCCATCGGCATTTAGCAATACATTTCTGAGCCAAAATTATCAGCTGCAGATAGGGATGCTAACGTATGGGCCGATTTGGCTCATCTTTGATCATATCACCTACTCTTAATTATATCACTTTAATTATCATATAAATTTTGGCAATACGTATACGTATACAAGATTGGTTTTTAATGATACGCGATACTCTTTCATTTTTTCTGCTTTAATATGACCTTGTTTTGAAGTTTATGATACAAAAAAAAAAAAACTACAGAATCATGAACAAAGTAAACATAAAAATAAAAACTTACTTCACATCGGCATATGCTTTATCATTCGTTTGAAAAAAAAGCCTTGGATTTAATAAACATTCAATCGAAAAAATATATATAACAATTAATGCATTTTTAAAGAATATGTTTTTGTCTTTATTTGAAAATGAAGATAGTTTTAAATAATACAAAGTCAAAGAAAATATTATTATATTTTGGAAAGAATTGTGAGTAGTAAAAAATTAAAAAGCATATTCAATAAAAAGTTGTAAAAATAATAATAAACAGAAAGAAATATACAGAAGTAATTATATTAGAAAATTTTAATTACACAATAGACAACATATTAGACAGACAACATTTACAAACAACAAATTATAAAAGATTACTAATATTCAATTAGCTAAAAAACAAAATTTTATAGATTCATACAGAAGTTTTCATCTAATAAAAAAACATATATATGATCAAGTTACAAAACAGCAACAAGAATCAACCACATATGGTTATTAGAAGCATTAGCATTAGATCTGCAAAAAGGAAATATAGAAGAAACAGAAGGATTTTTTTTTTTTTTTTTAAATATTAAGGTGAGTACTTGCAACTTAGGATTTTATTGATAGTACATTCAGCTAATGGATGCATTATAATCACAGAGGGCAATCATAGAAAGAGTATACAACTAGCCACTTGTACAACTTTAGTTATTGTCTAATTTAAGTAGTCTGCCCGAAGGTTTTACACTAACTGTCATACCTGGAATCTACTTGTAAGTTTCTTATTTAACTACTCTGTTCTCATATCTACCTATCTACTTATACCTACCAAGATGCCTTAGTCGATACTGGTACAAATATGCCATGGTCACTAAGTCTTCAAAGCAGTTTACTTACATGGGAAACCTTTGACCTTGTACTAAATTTTTTAGAATCTTCTGTATCCTATTCTTACAGTTGATTTGATATCACTATGATCAAGACTAACACTAGTGGTCAGTGTATACTATTTAACTGCTATGTCCTTATAGAGTTCATCCCAACCCTGATACTGATTTTACAACATATCTCTACTACTTTGGTATTCAATTCAAGTTTTACCAAGCTTCCAAACCAGATAGTCCGAAAAGTAGTGATCCAAATCATTAGTTAAAAAATCAACTAGTTGATAATTTTCTAACTAATTGATTTAAAAATTTTGAAAACAACTAATTGTATAATTATCAACTAAATCAACTACAACTAATTGTAGTTGTCAACTAGTTGTTAACCAACTATTATCTATGTTAATCAACTAAACAACTTATTATAACTAGTATTGAAATCATATTACTTGTTATATTAATCAATAAAGCAAACCTATAAAAAAAATATCATTGATATATCTTGTAAATATAATTAAATGATTTGTATATTAAGAAATACGTAACACATATAAATATTATATAAAATATATAATGTCAGCAGTATTTTTCTATAGACAACGTTTAATTGGTGATTATTAGAACATATTGGTTAAATTAAAAAGATAATTACTACATATGTAAGCGATTTGTATATTAAGAAATGCATAACACATGTTAGTGATATTTTTCCTATGGGTGACATTTAATTAGTGATCATTAGAACATATCAGTTAAATCAAAGAATTAATTACTACATAATGGTAAGTGATTTGTATATTAAGAAATATGTAATATATATAAATACTGTTATAGTAGGGAGGCCTTCTTTAACTTCTTACTATAATAATAACATGATTACAGGAATCCTTTACAGATTTATAGTAATGTTCAAGAGGGAAGTATAGTAGTTTTAACTATTTAGCAACTATGCCCTTCTCTGGGCAGTTTGGTTAAGATAATACAACAGTTTATAAATTTATTAACTTGGGAATGATAGACCTTGCCTGTAGGAATTACCCTAGAGAAGGAATATCAATATAGTTTATAGGTAAAGATAATAACTTTATTAAAGGAATAAGGCTATCTGTTAGGTTTCTGTTTCTAAGGAATCCTTTTATACTTTACAAGAATTACTAAACTAAAAGGTAGAAGAAGAGGAGTGTCTGTGACTTGCTTGACTTGGGGAAATTCTTGGGGTTTATATATTTATTAAAATCATTAAAGCTAAGCATCAAGCGTCAAGCATCAAGCATTAAGCATCAAGCATCAAGCATTATATGTCAAACGCTATATTTGTTCTACCTACTATGACTAATAATAATAACTAATGCTAATAAATTTTTTTTTTTTTTTTTTTTTTTTTTTTTTATTATTATTAAAGCTGATATTATCAGTAGCTACTGCCTTTATTGTATTTTTGGTCAACGCATTACATATGACTTGTACAAGGTAAGTATGCAACTAGCCACATATGTAACTTTTGGTTACCTATTTTATGTAGTCCGTCCAAGAGTTCTACACTAGCTGCCATGCCTGTAACCTACTAGGAGGATACCTATTTAAACACTCTGATCCTTATACTACACCCA